CTCACTGGTCCTCGTATTGGTTATATATGTAACAAGTTCGGTACATATGATTTGTATGCACCTGCTTGAGGGGAGTGTTAGTTTACAGCATGTATATAGTGTAGTATTGTCCCACGAGTAGTATGTCCTTGTATAGTATAGCTATAAATAAGGACCTCTTGTATTGTATTGCTCATCCAATATCAATAACATATTTTCTCCCGTACCTTCTCACAGATTTATTTTGGGAAGATGCTGCTGGACAACCTTAGAGATATTGTTGTTAACCATTATTTTGAATTTGACTATTATCTTCAGTATTTTCTTTTTTCCTTTTTCCATGCAATGAAGATCAACAAGGAAGCACAAGATCTAGAGGGACGTGAAGAAGCCATCAAAGCAAAGGAAACGCATGAAATCCAACAGGAAGTGAGGACTGTGAAAAATGAGATCCACACTATAGTAGAGAAGTTTGAGAGCCAACTCAGAAATGCAAGTGCTGACGAGATTAATCCACTTGTGAAAAAAGCTGAATCTGCTATTGCATCGATAGTTGAAGCTCATCAGCCTAGTAAAGATTCTCTATTCAGAGAAATAGGCCAGAGCCTTTACACACCTCAGATCGGAGAACAAGTATATGTGAAGGCCTTTGGAAATAAGTTAGCCACTGTAGTTGAGGAACCTGGGGATGATGACAGTATCCTTGTTCAATATGGAAAAATCAGAGTCCGCGTGGGCAAACGTAGTGTAAGACCCATTCCCCCTGATGCTTCTTCCGGTGCAGCTGTCCTGAAAACCCAGGTTTGCCAACTCTGAGTTCTTTCTTCTCTCTTTCTGTTGTAAGTATAAAACTATAAATATATATACTACATAATACACCATACACATACATGAAACATAGGCACCACTATGAGACTGGTGATTGAAAGTTTTTAAAGAAACGAGGTAGACCTAAAATCTCAGGGAAGAAAGTAGACCTACAATCTCTTGGATTCCATGTGGACTTATCGAAAAGTAAGGTACAACGGAAGATTTGGATTCATATAGGTGATAGCAATTAGTTTTGATTGAGATTTAGTCATGGTGGTATGCTACTTTAGCTCCAACTTTTGGTAGGAGTCATTTAGCCTCATAGAGATTATGCCAGCAGAAAATATAGAGAACGTCAGTGCTAGAAAACCTAACATCTTAAATATTCAACTGAGACCGGTAGAAGCGGTGTAACATAAATTGATTATCAATTATATGCATATGAGGCTAGTTTTTAAGTATATGACAATCAGGTAGTTCATTTTTGAGCTTGGAACTTATAATCCTAGCTTAGATACTTGCCTTATCTTATAAAATGAATGGAGTTGCATGTTTTAGTAAAGACGAGTATCTTGAGAATTTCGCATGTGAGTTAGGTTCGTTTCACATATATCTGATATATACTCGTGCTTGGCTGTTTCTCACTTGGTAAAAACATGGGGAATGAAAGAAAAAGTTAATCATGATCGATGATGTAGGTACAGCGGATCAAGAGTCTTAGGGACCTTGGAAGTCTTGCTGAAGCAGGCAAAAATCAACAGGATTCTTATGGCCCTGTGCTGCAGACATCTAAAAACACCATAGACTTGCGTGGCCTGAGAGTGGAGGATGCTTCACACCAGCTCAACATGGCTATTGACTCAAGAGCGCCTAATTCTGTTCTTTTTGTTATTCATGGGATGGGCACTGGGGTTGTAAAAGAATCTGCACATAAATTACTAAGAGATCATCCTCGTGTTGTTAAGTTTGAACAGGAAAGTCCTATGAATTATGGTTGTACAGTTGCTTATATCAAATGAAACACTTCTCAAAACCCAGGTAAAGGTAATATACACACTGAATGGTGTTTATCTGACAATTCTTGTCTTGTACAGGCTTATCTTTTGGGCTTGTTCTCTCTTTCTCTTAAAAACCCAGAAGCACACTCGTGAAATGTTAGTTCAAATTATGATCTCTTAACCGTTGAACTATTTCATTGGAATGCGGAAGTGTTCTCTAAATAAATTGCTGTATTTCCAAAACTTGCTTGCCGCTCTATTGAAAATTTCTAATTCAACACTCGCTGTGGGTTTATTAGTTTTTGTACTGCGCACAAAGTTACTCGAGCAGCTTTCACTGTGAAAATTAAAATGTATAAATAAGAAAAACAAATGCTTTTCCATTGATAACGAAGAAGGAATCTTTGATACAAATTGCATTAGAAGACTGAGCTAGCGTTTGGCCATAGATTCTCAAATTTGTTCTGAAAAATCTGATTTGGGCGAAGTTTGGTTTGAAGATGAAAATGTGTTTGGACATCAGTTTTCAAAACATATTTTTCAAATTTATTTTGAAAAAATATGAAATATGATTTATACCCACAAGTTTTAAAAACTATTACAAATACCCAACATTACCATTATCAATAACATTCATTATATTATCGCAAACCATAGTATTGAACATGAATAAATTTGATACAAAATTATCATTTTTATAATGAACTGCATGATACACTATCACGTGATCGAGAAGACGAAGTAACATTGTTACAAAATAATAAATAGTGGGCTCTTTTATAAAATACAAAAGTTTGGGCAATTTTTAAAAAATGTAATAGTGATATTTTGGCTCAAAACCAGCTCTTGATTTTACCGAAATGTAGGTAAAATCTATGGCCAAACATATGTTTGCCAAATAAAATCCAAATTTATTTTGACAAAATCTATGGCCAAACGGGTCACAAGCTAATCTCGTTTGCGGGGGTAACTTTCAAACAAAAAACCATTCTTTTCTCATTTCCGCTAATGGTTATGTCCCACAGATTTTGCTGTTTTCAAATAATGTCTCAATCGGGAATTACATTATCTTATTATCTCTTCCTATTAGTCAAATTACATCAAAATAATGCATACATGAAAGATACCTTGACGTCGACCTCCACTGAAAAAAAGCTTAATTAGTTTCATCATTGAAAGAACAGAAAGCTTGAAATAGCATTATTACGTGCTTTCTGAGACTTCGTTGCATAGGCAAATAATTTTGGGTTTAAGTGGATCAATTATTTAGAAGAGTCCAGTATTGCCTGCTTCTCGAAGTGCGTAAAGTCATATACTGCTAGCTTCAGCCTTACAAAACTTTCTTGGCTTGTTTCTACTGTCCTATTCATAATTTAAAACCAGACACAAATTCAAGATTTAAATTTTATGGGTTCAACTTTTAAATTTTTTTAGCGTTGAACCTAAAGTTATGAGTTTATATTCATTATTTTTATAATTTTAATAAACTTTTACTCCGCATTAAAAGTTATACATTCAATTGTTAACCCACTGCATGTATGCACCTTTCTAAAACTACTAGTATATCATATTTTCTGGTACTTCAAAACCATGTTCCAAGACATCTATCCCATCAATGAAAGAAATAAAGAAATTTTGTTTACAAATTCCCAAAGTAATTATTCGCCCATAAAATATTAAAGTAGTACCATCTTGAACAAAGGAGAGTGTGACAGATGCACTATCACTTTGTTGATGCCACGTCAGTACTTTGTTTTCAGTTACAAGAGTCTTTTGGATAAGCATGTCAGCTGCAAGTCTTCTATATTATAAGTACATAGAATGTGCTTTCCTGGGATTTTTATGGTTCTTGAAAAAAGAAATTAGCTTGGGATTCTTGAAATTTTTCTAGCTTTTACTTTGTCCAAACATGTTGGCTGTGTTTGAGCAATCCATTGGTAGGCCACCTCCAGAGTTGAGCCTTCCTCAAGCAGGTATACAGAAAAAGGAGGCTAAAACAAGGGAAGAGATTGCAGAAAGTTTCAAAACATGGAAGCAAGACTCAACTTTTTACCACCTTTTCAATGGGAATTTCATGGCTTTTTCTCATGGAAATGAAAACCCTTTACAACCAAGGTATTGATGTTTAGTACTAGTAATAGTAACATGTTTTGTTTTTTTCTTTTTGGGCACATTGATTAGTATACTAAAAGGGTGAACTTTTCTTAAAAACTAGTGTAGTATTTCAAGATTGAAGCAATAGCAAGGTGACTATAAATGAAGTTGTCTGAGCTTGTTTTGTTTTGTTTTGTTTACATTAGGTCTATTGTTGTGATGGATGATGTCTTCTGCATATTCTCTGGGGCTTTAGATAACACTTTTGATTTGAGAAAACATTATGGTCTTTCAAGACAAGCCACAGAGGCTATGATTATGGTTGAAGCTTACAAAGTTTTAAGGGATCGGGCGCCATACCCTCCTGATCAAGTCATCAAAGAACTTGAAGGCAAATTTGCTTTCATTCTGTTTGACTCAAAAGCTTCTACTCTTTTTCTTGCCAGGGTGAGTCACAATGCTTTTTCTCACATAATTGATCTCTTTCTTAGCTTATTGAACATTCATATTAACCATTTCCATGATCCATAACTTGGTCTGTTTCTTTAAACTTAACTATACACCATGATCAACATAGTATTTTTAGAAGAGTTTAAGTTTGGTGCCCTGACGACATAAAAAATGTTTATACAATCATGTCATTTATAAGGATTAAGGGCAGCCCGGTGCACTAAGCTCCCGCTATGCGCGGGGTCCGGGAAGAGCTGGACATCAAGAGTCTATTATACGCAGTCTTACCATGCATTTCTGTAAGAGGTTGTTTTCATGGTTCGAACCCGTGATGTCCTGATCACATGGTAGCAACTTTACCAGTTATGTCACTTATAAGGTAATTACATGATAAACATTAGTTGGAAACCGGGTAAAAGTGGTAACTAACCTTCTATCACATGTTAAACTAGGTTAAACTACACTAAAAAAATCTTTATATTGTCAATGTATATAACTTAAATCCTTTTTAGGATAAACTTAATGTTGCTCTAAGCAATGTAGGATCGCGATGGATGTGTGCCGTTACACTGGGGAACTGCTGCAGATGGGTCTTTAGTATGTTCCGATGATTCAGAGTTCATTCAAGCTTCTTGTGGAAAATTCTATACCCCATTTCCTCCAGGTTTCTTAATCAAATCCTCAAGTTTGATTCAATCTTTTTTGGATATCAAGCAAAATTTAATGTATAAAAGCTGATTGAACAGGGTGTATCTTCATAAGTGACACTGGACTAATAAGCTTTGATCATCCACTGCACAAAGTAAAAGCAATTGCACGCGAAGATGATGAAGGAAACATCAATGCTGTGATTTTCCAGGTGGATTTGTACACCAAACTCCACAGCATTCCACGCCGGGGAAGTGCTGCCAATTGGGCAGGTGCCACTGTGGTTGAAGGAGACTGAAGGCTTAAAACTTTGTTTTGAGGGTAAATTGACAATCTTCCTGAGTTTGAGTGTAATAATGTTAAATTACAAATGATATGCTACTTTATGGCCATCTTGTTGAAATAATCTTAAATCATATGTTGCTCCTACGAAATCAATCCAATCATCTGATCAATAGCTTTCAGCATTATGTTCATTCATTTCACATTTTCCCAGTTTGCTTCCTTAATTTGATAAATCAAAAAGTTCTGTGATTCCTATAGATTATTTTCCTGGTACTATTAAATTGTGACTGCTTCGCGATCTTTAAATTATTTCATCCTTTAAATATGAGTTTCCTGATTCTTCCTTTCATTTTCTAACTACAGAGAAATTGCTGAATGCTGATTGACATTAGGCAAAGTAACAACAAATATATTCAGCATTATATTCCAAATACTAGTAGCAAGTCTATTTTTACAGTGCATGAGGAGGTTTAGCAAATTGTCCAACTGATTATATCCCAATCCACTGTAAACTAGTTTTATTTAAGTTCGTTGGAAGTGAGTATTCTTAGACAGTGTATACAGTTTTTTGGCTGAAGCTACATATATAGTTCCTTTTTTTTTGGTTTGTGGGAGAGCCTAGTTTATGATGTCTTCGTCTTTATGCTGCTTTGACTGATGATGCGCTTCCTCCTCATCACTCCTTTCTACTATATGATCATGTCGGTTCTCATGTTTGTGTTGCATTGGAGAAACAAAGTGTAGAAGAAGTTCATTACAATCTTCACTTTCACACATATCTGGCCTACATCTGTAAGGTCCATCGAATCGTGATAATCCTGAGATATGGAATTCAGTTATTCCTCCACTAGGATTGTTGGCAGGACATGCATAACCACAGCCCGGGGGACAGCCAAAACCAGGGTCACAGCCATCGTTACTACAACCAGGGGCATCAGAACCACCACCTCCTCCGCCACCACCACCACCCCAAGCACCAAAACCAATTCCAAAACCGCCAACTCCTCCCACAGTGAGACCTATACCTCGGCGTCCTCCATATCTTAGATGTTCTTGTTTATTGTCATGTTTGTCTTGCATTGGGAAAACAAAGTGTAGGAGAAGCTCATTACAGTCTTTACTGTCACACATATTTGGCCCTGGCTTGCAACGGTATAGTCTAGCGGATTGTGATATTCCTGTGATTTTGGATTCAGTCATTCCTCCAGTAGGAATATCGGCCGGACACACATAGCCACAACCAGGGGAATAGACTGGGACACCAAAGACAGGTTTAGGTAGGAAACCAAAGCCAGGGACAGTGCAACCATGGATACTGCAGCCAGGGTTATAACCGTAGTTAGGGGTGTCAGAACCACCACCATCTCCACCACCTCCACCACCACCGGCCCAACCACCACCAATGCCAAATCCACCGCCTCCTCCAAAGCCTTTGGCGTCGATATTACTCAGAGTGTGAGCTTTGAGGTTGTCATGATCAGCTTCCTTAGCCTTAATTGCATCAGAGGTAACAGGCTGGCCAGAGCATATTGCTAAGCTTAGCAAAATCATAAAAGAAATGAAAACCCATTTTGGAGCTACCATTTTAGCTAATTTCTTTAAGTAAAAACTTTGATTTGAGTGATGATGTTGTACTGTTACACTTGCACCACAAGGGCATATATAGAGCACAAGACATACACAACAACTTGCAAAACTAACTTTTGTTGGAGCATTTCGAGGAAAATGGGGAGTAGCAGGCTAATCTGAGGGTAACATTAAGGTTTCATGTATTAATTTGTTGCAAACATGGACTTAGTGTGAGGAAAAAGTACCAAAATTTTGTCTCACCCTGATTTCAGTTATGGAAATTACATTATGAAGCTGTGCTAGAGAAGATGTTTATTCTAGTCCAGCCACCCACCTTATGCAAGTCTGCTTTTAGCTTGATTCAAAAACTGATTTAATTTACATTGCTAAATGTGCATACTTCGAGCCTATGTCGCTTTAATTCGAGTAGGATGTATATATTAGTACATAAAAAATCATGTTTGAATCATCTTTCATAAAGTGACAAGTCAATTGTCCCTTCTTGTTTGGCACTATATTCAATCTGTTAATGCAAATTATCCAGTTATACTTAGCTAGATATCCAATTTTGAATAAAAATAGCTCTTGATTAGTAAACCGGATAGTGACAAAGTCACATATCCATCAAACTTCTGGTGCTCGTGGCTAAGTTCTGATCGACATGGGGTTAAAATTTAAATTGGGACACATAAATAGCCTATTTGTGCAAATCTCCCCATCGAAAATGACAGATTGTTACATGGAAAACAAAAAGTCCTCTGATAGAAGTCGCAAAGTATCACAATTTTCTATCGAGAGATAGATTGAAAGAAGTGCAGGGAAGCGGTTAACTGGAACATAACACAATGTCTAAATTAATTGCATTCGCTAACCAAAAAGTGTATTACTCTCTCCGGTCCACAATAAGTTATTTTTTGGCCCTTTTTTTATGGTCCAAAATAAGTGAGTTTTTTAGATTTCAAAAATGATTTAATTATTTTTTTACTACAGTGCCCTTGGAGTAAATGGTGTTGGAGTATGTGTTAGAAATGTTTATGTGAAGAAATAGTAAAGGTTAATATGATCAATTTCATTGCTATTTAATGTTAAAATGTGAATTTCTTAATCTGTGTGAAAACAACCAAAAAATCACTTATTGTGGACCGGAGAAAGTATATAAATATATATTTGGAAGCGACTAAAAATAAACTTTTCTCATATTATACGAACCTAAAAACAGCATATGGTAGTTTCTAGGGAATCTAAATCACTAAAATTAATAAAAGAAGCAACAAGTATCAATACATATGATTTACACCGTCAAACACGAAATTCGTAAATATTTAATATAATAAAGAATTAATCCAAATAGCCTCCCACCCTATAACTTAAACTAAAAATAACCAGCGAATGTATATTATATGCATAATTTATATATTAAATGTGTATAATCATGTATAATCAATGTATAATCTATGTATATGGTTAGAAAAAGTAAACAATTAATATAGCCGGCTATTTGTGTAAAAATCCCTAATATAATCGATATATTATTAAAAGGAGAGGACAAAGCCCTCTTCTTAAGCCAAGTGACAACCTAGAAAAAAGCCACATGGCATAAGTAGCTAATAATTAGTTATTGGTTATTGTTTTTGAATTTACATATCTATAAAATAATAAAATAAAATATTTTATAATAAAAAATGAAAAAAAAATGTCCATTCAAATTGTAGAATAGTTTCAAGTTGGAGTTTTTAATTTATTTTAAAATAAAAAACTAAAATTACAAAAAATAAAAACTGCCAATTCAAAATTTCTTTGTTTTTTTAAAATAATTTTTGTTTTTCTTTTTAAAAATAAAAAGTTTATTTATTCAAAAAATATTATTGAGAATAATAGAATAAAATATAAAATAAAAAAAATATTTTCTATTATATTACAAAAATAAAGTAGCATACAAAAACCTAAATAAAGTAATATGCTAATAAAAGTTTCTATTAACAATGCAATAATACTAAATATTGGATAATATAATAAAGAAAAATACATAACATAAAAGTTATTCGATGCCTATATAAGTATCATTAATTTAATAGAGATTTTATTCATTAAAATTCAGATAATATTATTGAGAACAATCTATATCTATCTATATATTATTAAAAGGAGAGAAAAAAGCCGCATGATATAAGTAGTTAATAATTAGTTATTTAGTTAATAATTAGTTATTGGTTATTGGTTTTGAATTTAAATATCTATAAAATAATAAAATAAAATATTTATTAATAAAAAACGAAAATTAAAAAAATATCCATTCAAATTGGAGAGTAGTTTCAATTTGGAATTTTTAAACTATTTTAAAATAAAAAACTAAAATTACAAAAAATAAAAAACTGCAAATTCAAAATTTCTTTGTTTTTTTTTAAAGAATTTTATTTTTCTTTTTAAAAATAAAAAGTTTATTTATTTAGAAAACATTATTAAGAATAATAGAATAAAATATAAAATATAAATATATATCTCAATAATATCTAAATTTTAATGAATAAAATAATAAATATTTTATATTTTATATTTATTGTTTTTGATATTTTAAATAAATATATATAAAATAATAAAATAAAATATTTTATAAAAAAAACGAAAAATTAAAAAAAAAATATCCATTAATTGGAGAGTAGTTTCAAGTTGAAGTTTTTAAATTATTTTAAAATAAAAAAATAAAATTACAAAAACATAATAACTGATTTTATTCATTAAAATTCAGATAATATTATTGAGAATAGTAGAATAAAATTTAAAATAAAAGAATATTTCAAAAGTAATAAAATATATATCTTCTATTATATTACAACAAGAAAGTAGTAGACAAAAATATTAAACAAAGTAATATGCTAATAAAATTAACTATGTAATTATACTAAATATTAGATAATATAATAAAGAAAAACATAACAAAAAAATTATTCGATAACTATATAAGTTCCTTTAATTTAATAGAGATTGTTTTCATTAAAATTCAGATGATATTATTGAGAACATCAGAATAAAATAAAAAATAATAAATATTTTAAGATTAATAAAATATATATATTCTCTTATATTACAAAAAGAAAGCGATCAGACAAAAATATTAAACAAAGTATTATGCTAATAAAAATTTCTATTAACAATGTAAAATTATGAAATATTGGATAATATAATAAAAAAAAAATATAGAACAAAAAAGTTCTTCAGTGGCTATATATCGTATTAACAAATAAGATGACAATTTTAGTTTATTAAAGCAATACGATCTAATATGTTCAAACAGGCACGATCACAATTTAATTTAATTAATATTGTTTAATATTGACTGCGAATCGCGCGGGTATGACTACTAGTATATTTTAAGGGAGTGTAGAAGGGGTTTTAGGCCTTCATGGCCCTTTACAGTGTTGAATTTAAGAAAATATCTTTTTTAGGTCTCATACGTATAAAAGAAAGATCTCTTATGTGTAAAAACAAATCTCTCATGTACAAAAAAAAAGACGGGGTCAAAAAACTAAATACAATCTTGTAATGGTTGGAAGCCAATTATTCAAGTTGTATAAAATGATTATTCATTTCATTATAGGTGAGCAGTGAGCTCCCTCAGTTGTTAAGAGAACCCAACTACTCAAGTTGTATAAAATGATTATTTCATGATTAGGTGAACTCCCTTAGTTATAAAAAAGTGGAAGTCTATTTTGTATAGAATATCAATTATATTGTAAAGCAGCTCTGTGTGCACCTGAATCTTACATAGACTAATTAAGGTAACACTTACAATCATCTAAGAAACATTTTAGAAATTATTAATCTACTCTTCTAAGCAGTATTCTTTTATCAAATTTGGTATTTAATTTAGTCTTCCTTGGACCCAAATATTTTGGTACTTACTAAAATACAGAGAAACATGAAAATATTTTTTTTTTCAAGAACAAACAATAGATTAAAACTTTGTGGAAATTTATATAGGCTTTTAGATCACTACGTCTTAATAGAGAATTTCAAGTTATACAACTTTACACTTACTTA